GAGATCGGGGGTTGCCGTTTGGCTACCTATGATGAAACCGAAATACCCCTCGACTCCATCCACATCTGTCACTCGCCTCAGTATCACGCAACCCCGCTTTCACCCTGTCCTTCTCCACCTGCTCTCTCCATCCCAATCGCGGACGACCCCTTCCTACCACTCCTTCAACCTCGAACTCCAACGCTCGCCTAATCCCGACCCTTTCATCCCTTCTCAACACATGTCCATACCACCGCAATCTCGATCTCCTTATCAATGTCACAATGTCCTCATTCAGTCCCATCATTGACATCAGCTCTGTACTACTCCTCCTATCCTTCACTTTAACCCCACACATCATCCTCACCATAGCTCTTTCAGCCCTCTGCAGTACACTTTCCTCCTCTCTTCTCAACACCCAAGTTTCACCACCATATATCATCGCTGCTCTCACACATGCTTTATATACCCTCCCTTTCATCTTCACTGACCATTTCTTTCCACACAATACCCCACCCAGTTTCCTAAATTTCATCCATCCCACACGAACTCTAGCCGTAACTGCGCTCAAACATCCTCCATCCGCATTCAGCTTATCCCCTAAGTAAACAAAGCTTTCCACTCTTTCAATACCATCACTCAACCCCGTCCTTGCGTCCGTCCTATTAATCACATCATGAACACATTTCTTACATTTGAACGTGCCTTCCACCTTTTTCAGTGCCCCCCTCACATCACTACATCTCTTATGCACCCATTTCTGACATCCTATACACAATACCGAGTTAGCCTTCACTCTCCTATCACATACCCCACAGGGGTCTATTTTACTTATCACTCGTTCCCCACCTTCCCCACTCACCATTACCTTCGTCTTACCAATATTAACTTTTAACCCTTTCTTTTCAATAACACTTTTCCATCTGTCAAATTTTAACTGCAATTCTTCCATGCTATCAGCCATCAAGACTAAATCATCTGCATACAAAATCTCAAATAACAACCCCTCCATTATGTTTCCACACATAACATCCATCACAATTGCAAACAGAAACGGTGATAACACTGAACAAGTTTTCAACAAATCGAAATTATTTCTGTTCAAATTTATTATTAAATGCGTGATTATACATGTTATTATATTTTTGGGAACAAATTTCTCGATCACAGTGCCTGATGTTAATGTTTGGTAACTTGAAAGTAAGATACAATTTTGATAGTCTTATCAATCAGATGGTCCAAGCGATACAATCGTAATTCTTATCGCTTCGCATTTATTTTCAATGCATATTCATTGATTAATATATACTTAATATATTCCACTAATGAATGTTAACGCGTGCATTCATGTGTAGATACAAATGTACAAACAAAATTTATATACAAACTTAGGTGACAATTTTGAAACAAAAAACCGGCGCAAATGCGAAATCCGGCTAAGTTTTTGGCCAGAGCCGAATTTGAAAAAATGATCAGATTTATTGATTATTGAATTTATTTTCAAGTTGAAAGGTCTAGTAGGAAACATGAGAATTGTAAAGCTGAAGAAATATTAAATACAACGGGTAACAACGCAGAGATAACAACAATAAAAAAGAAAAAAACAAACCAGAAATATTAAAATGTTTCTGTGTAAATACAAGAAGTATTGTAAATATTGATAAAAGAACAAAACTGGAGTTATATATATAGAGAATGAACAACCCGATATTATAGGTATAATTGAATCATGGGCGAAAGAACCGATTCAAGATAGTGAGATATAACTGAACGAATACGTAATGTTTAAAAAAGACAGGGAACACAGTAAAGATAAAGGACAGGGCGGTGGAGTGTTATTGTACATAAACAAAAAACTGACTGCACTTGAAAGAAAAGACCTGAAAAACGACAAATTTAAAGAAATCGTTTGGTGTGATATAAAGAACGAAACTAAAACACTGCGTGTAGGAGTATGCTACAGAGTACCAGATTCAACAAAAGAGAATGACAGTGGATTACGTGAACTGATCAGAAATGCCACAAAAGTGTCTTGCGTAATAATGGGAGATTTTAACCACCATATTGACTGGAATCATAGAGAAGGCAAAAAGCTTGCGGACGAACTGTTTCTGGATTGCATAGACGAAAACTTTCTTACTCAGCATGTGATGGAGCCAACAAGGAGAGAAAATATATTAGATTTAATAATATCAACAGAAGAGAACATAATAGAAAAAGTTCGGGTAGGAGAAGAATTTGGAACGAGCGATTATAGGATACTTAGATTCAACTTAATGTTAGAGCAGAAAAAAGAAGACGAGGCTTATTCAAAGCGCTACAATTATTTCAAAGCAAACTACTACAAGGTCAGAAATAAAATCATAGAAATGAACTTGGCAGAGCGATTGAAAGATTTGGGAGTGCAAAATAAATGGAAAACCTTTGTGTCCTGTATGAATAAAGTTGTTGAAGAAACTATACCGACTATCCGGAGAAGCAACAAAAAGCTACCGCGGATAAATAAAAATGTACAGAAAACCAGAAGATCAAAATTTAAAGCATGGAAGAAGATGCAGGAGTTAAGACAGAGATATCTAAGAAATGCTAAAGATATTTCAAAGAGTGAGTTAGAAGCAGCAAGGGATAAATACATCAGAAAGAGAAATCTAGCAAAGGCAACAAACAGGAAAGGAATAAAGGAATATGAAGAAAAACTAACTGAGAACATAAATAAAGACAGTAAAAGCTTTTTCACTTACGTGAGAAGCAAACAAAAAAGGAAAGATAAAGTGGGGTCTCTGAAGACTGATCAAGACAAGATTGTAACGGAAGAAAAAGAAATGGCTGAGATGCTCAATAACTACTTTGGATCGGTGCTGACAAAAGAAAATACAAATAACATAAAGGAGCCAAAAAAATTGTTTGGGGGAAGCCAAGAAAAGATGCTTACAAGTGTTTACATAATAGAAGAGATGGTTGTCGAAATACTAGGCAGTCTCAAAGAGAATATTTTTAAAACCCAAAATTTTTAAAGGAAATAAGACATGAAGTAGGAGCCACACTGTGCGAAATATTTAATGACTCTTTAAGATCAGGAAATATACCAAAAGATTTGAGGAACGCCACCGGCACGCCATTGTTCAAAAAAGGACGTAGAAGCGAAACTAGTAACTACAGACCAGTTAGTTTAACTTGCATTATATGTAAAGTATTAGAAAAAATTATCAAGAGGAATATAGTCGAGCACTTAAATTCTAACTGCATAATCAATGACAGCCAACATGGTTTTATGAAAGGACGATCCTGTCTATCTAACCTATTGGATTTTTTTGAAGATGTTCATGTTAACCTAGACCAGGATAACTCGGTAGACGTAATATATTTTGATTTTCCAAAAGCATTCGATAAGGTGCCACATAAAAGGTTATCCAAAAAGTTACAGACATGTGGGGTAGAATGAAATCTGCTACAATGGATAAAAAATTGGCTGAAAGATAAGAGACAACAGGTGCAGATAAAAGGAATAAACTCGAAGTGGATAGACGTAACAAGTAGCGTGCCTCAGGGATCGGTATTGGAACCGCTATTATTTGTGATATACATTAACGACATCGACGAAGGAATAGTCTCTAAGATTTCAAAGTTTGCAGATGATACCAAATTATGTGCGAAAGTCAACAACGATGAAGATGCAGAAATATTGCAAAAAGAACTAGCAAGACTGTACCAATGGTCCAAGGACTGGCAAATGCTTTTCAACGTTGACAAATGTGCAGTCATGAATATAAGGAAGAACGCTAGATATGAATATAAAATTGGTGAAAGAGAACTACTACAAAGGAAGAAAAGGATCTAGGAATCATTGTTCATCAAAGCACAAAACCGTCAAGACAATGTACAGTTGCAGCGGCCAAAGCCAATACGATCTTAGAATTTATAAGAAAAACAATGGTCAGCAGAGAGAAGCATATCATACTGAAACTGTACAAAACCCTAGTCAGACCTTATCTGGAGTAATGTGTTCAAGCATGGAGCCCATATATGCAAAAAGATAAGGAAGTTTTAGAAAAAGTACAACGTAGAGCCACAAGAAGGATTAGAGAAATTGGAAAAATGGAATACGACGAGAGATTGAAAAAATGCGACTTAACATCATTAGAAAAAAGAAGATGTAAAGGAGATCTAATCCAAACATACAAATTGATCACAAACAGGGAAACAGCACCATACTCGAGATTTTTCAGGCTAGTAAACAGTGATAAACTACGAAGACACATATTTAAGATTTTCAAAAACTCGGATGGAAAAATAAAGAGCAGATTTTTTAGCAGTAGAGTGGTCAACGCCTGGAACGAGCTAAGCGATGATGCAGTCTCTGTGAATTCACTCAACAGCTTCAAAGCCTAATTCGGACAGATAGGATATTAGGAGATCTAATTAGTAGGGGTTCTTACATCTTCTGTACCACTTTAAACTCCGTTAATAATAATAATAATAATTTTAATCTGAGCCTAAGCCGAATTTCGGTACAGCCCTACTATTATAAAATTCAGGGAGTGAGCCGAAGTTTCAATTGGTTTTCCCTTCTTTCATTTTCTTTTAAGTGGTGTAAGATTATAAATAAATTTTTTTTTTGAATTTTTATTGATAAATTTAAACTGAAATGTATAGTTTTTGAGACCCCTTCACGAAACAGATTAATTTTTTTTAGTGCGTTTAAATAGAAAAAGGTGGTTTAACTTTTTTTAGTTTTATTTTAATGTTTTCGTTTGGTACAAATTTTTTTAATCTTTCCACTTTTTGGAAGTAACTTTAGAATTTAGATTTCAGTCGACGCAGTATTTGTAAATATTTAACATGTATTCATCCTGGGTATTATTTATTATGTAATTTCATTAATCAATTTAAGTTTATTAATTAATTAATTAATTAATTCAATCAATCAATCAATCAATCTTCGTTTTGCGTCCAGAGACCCGGTTTCCCGAGGTAGAACGTTGTTTTCTTTGCCATCAACTTTTTGCGCCAAATTAGACGATCAGTTGTATCCATTTCATTTAAATTTAGAGCTTTCATGTCTTGCTCGATTGTTTGCGACCAGGACTTTTTTGGACGGCCTTTGGGACGTGTGCCAGGTACTTTAACATCTGCAAGAGAAGTTATGGCACTGTTTCCACTTCGTTTTACATGACAAAACCACCTCAGGCGGTGTTGCCGGCATTTGTCCTTTATATCATCTAAACCAGCACGATGCAGGATTTCGGTAGATTTGATGTGGTCTTTCAGACTAATTCGTTGCATCCATCGGAGCATTTTCATGTCGGTTCGTTGAAGTTGTTGTTCCAGTTTGGTTGTCATTGGCCATGTTTCTGCACCATATATTAATAACAACACCGGACGTATCACAGATTTATAAAGTCTTGATCGTATTGGTAGTGGCATGTCACGTCGCATCAATATAGAGGCAAGGAGATGCCATTTATTCCATGCTGCACGTATGCGTGCTCGAACGGCAGCTTCAGTTGTTCCAGTACAATCCAGAACATCTCCTAGATATTGAAACGATGTGACTCTCTCTACCTTAATGGCTTCAAAAACAGTGCTATTTCGTATTTGTTGTTGTGGATTGATGCAAACAGGACAAACAAAATTGGACACTAGATAAAGTACCAATTATTTTTGAACAACATTTGTGACACCACTGGTTACACTGCTGACACTTGATTGAATTGTTACCTACACCAGCTTTACAAACTGAACAAAGCCATCGCCCGGTAGCTGTGGATTGGATTGGTTCACCAGTGTTCGTTGCTTTGGTTTTGCTGATGTTGACTTTGAATCCATGATCGGCGGGTCTGGTGTTCCAATCTTCAAACATCTGTGCTTCATTCTGCTCAGACGTGGCCGTTAAAACGATATCATCAGCATATATTAGATTCCAAATGTCACCAGTGCGTATCGGTTTTGTGATTTCTTCCATTACAGTTATAAATAACAGTGGACTGAGAATCGAGCCTTGGTGAACTCCAACGCCGATGTCAAATGCATCTGTGTTTTCAACCTTTGTGCTGACGAGAGTCTTAGTATTCGTATACATTTCCATCACAAGTCGAACAAGATATTCTGGAATGAGTTGTCGACGTAGACTCCACCTGGTTGCCTCACGGGGAACTCGATCAAATGCTTTTTCAAGGTCTACAAAAATGTGTGATAGTTGTTGATGCTTTGCGAGGTACTTCTTTTGCAGTTGCCGAAGGATGTGAATTGCATCAATTGTTGATTTCCCCGCTAGGAAACCAAATTGATAATTTCCGATTGTGATGCACGACGTTAATCTTCTCTCAATGATTTTTTCGACAATTTTCAGGGAGTGTTCTATCAGACGTATACCCCGATATGATGAAGAGTTCAATGGATCACCTTTGCCTTTGTATAGCGGGACTGTCATGCTATAGTTCCATTCAGTCGTTATTGAGCAATTTCTCCAGATTTCACGGCAAAGTTGTAGTAACGTTTGGATATCTGCAGTACCAGATGCTTTGATAATGTCATTTGTGCGTCCAGAGCGCCCTGCTGCCTTTTCATCCTTCATAGCTTTCAGATCTTCTGTTAGCTCTTCTATAGTGATGTCTGGAATCAGACTTTCAATGGGTGGAGCGTCAAAATTAATATTGATGGGATTTGTTTCGTTTAACAGACGGTTGAAGTATTCTCTCCACTGTAGCTTGATCTCATCTTGTTCAAGAACCATCTCATTTTTGTCATTTTTGATACATGAGGCACCAACTATGTCTTTTTTCGTACGCTTTGCTTGTTTTGCTATACGATACAGAGATTTCATTTGTTCACCTTTGCTTTTAGTGAGCCACTTTCTGCACTGATCTGTCCGAGCCAGTGCAACTTGACGTCTTGCATAGTTGTTCTTCTCTCGGAAAATTTTATGGTCACCAACAGACTTTGATTTTTGCCATTGCTTGTATGCAACTTTCTTTTCAGCTATTGCATTTTGTACACTGTCATTCAACCACCAAGTGTCACGTTCATGCTGACGTTTTGTACCAGTTTTCCCACAAACTGTAGTTGCACTGTTTATCAAAACGGTTTTGTAAGTACTCCAATCTGTACTGGCTTGCAATTGGTGGTCTAATTGTGTGGCGACAATCTGTTGAAATTTTTCTCGATGGATATTGCTTTTCAGCTTCCACGTTTTGATTCTCCGAGGCTTATGTTCTGACAGTTCGACAACCAGGTCTGCCACAAGGAGTCTATGTTGGGCGACACATGATTCGCCAGGTATAACTTTGAAGTTTTTGAACTGCCTTCGGTGTTGTTGCTTGACAGCGAAGAAATCAATTTGCGTGGCTGATGGTCCATTTTTGTATGTTATGAAATGTTCCAACCTCTTTCTAAAATATGTGTTCAGTAAACAAAACCCGTGACTTTCAGCAAACTCAAGGATGCGGTTGCCATCTTCATTCCGTTTTCCATAGCCAAAACCGCCATGTACGTTGTCAAAACCATCTGTTTTCTCTCCAACGTGGCCATTGAGATCGCCTCCAATCAGGATTGTTTCAGATTTTGGTATTGTTGAGATGGTGTCAGAGAATGCAGCCCAGAAGTCATTTTCCATCTCTTCTGATTCGCCTATCTGTAGTGCGTATGCAGAAAAAATAATCATTGTTTGCTTTTCTATGCGAAGCTTGATCCACATGAGACGTGAATTAATATTTTTAATATCCAGTACTTCTTGGGCTAGCGGTTCTCTGACAAAAATTCCAACACCGTTTTTGGTCGTCTTTTGACCATCCCAGAATAGTTTATATTTTTCTTTGTCTTTGTTGACATGACAGACACCATTCGATTTCCATCGGGTTTTCTGAATGCAGCAGATGTCAATCCTTCTACGCTCGAGCATTTCTGCGATTTCCATGCTGCGGCCAGTTAATTAATTAATTAATTCCATTAATTAATTTATTAATCAATTAATCAATTTAATTTAAGTCTGCTTATTAATTTTGGAATTGTTGAAATATTTTACTCACCGCATTTGTCGTAAATATTTGAAGTTTATTTGCCTGAGCACTTTAGTTAAAAACACCACACACAAATTTTACACTCAGATTACAAAATTTTACCACATTGACAAGCTCCGTTGTCAATTATTCCAATGCCAATTGATCGATTAATTAAATTTAATTTAACTAGCGCTCGTCAAAAGGTACGCTTGTTATCTAGCTTATCCCAAAACGCACCTACACGTTAAATTGAAGCTGGTTAGGTGCATCGGAAAAGGGTAAAAATTGTAAAATAAAATATCAAATTACAAAATGACAAAAAACATGTATATAAAAAGAAGGGGGAAATATGGAGGTGTGGTGATATATATTATATTTATGATGCATTATTTTGCAGCACTTTGGAATTGTGTCTCAATGAGGTGAAAAAATGTCAGTTCTTCATCGGAATATTGGGTGAAAGGTACGGAAGTTGTCAGTTTGATTACGGAAGTCTTGAAAGCACGAAAGACACTGAATGGATTTCCAAACACCCACCTGGTGCCTCGCTCACGGAGCTTGAATTCCACCAATGTTTTCAGTCACTTCCTCAAAAGGATAAAGCTTTTTTCTATTTTCGCGACCCTTCCTTTATTCAGTTGGTTTAAATTTTTGGCAAGCTTAAATGCGTTTTTAACCGTTTTATATAATTTATTCAATATTTTTTTATAATCAGAACGGTTCCGGAAAAACATCATCATTTATTAATTGACGAGAATGCAGGAAAATTAAAAAAGTTAAAGAAGCTTGTTTCTAGTTCTGGATACGAAGTTTATGACAAGTACGTTTTATAGTTATACTTTTTTAATACTTAACATCTTACATAAAAATTAATTTATAAATAATTTAGCTTCATATTTTCCTACTATTATGCTGTTGTTTCATACTATTATTAAACACCGCTGTGAAACCATGGTGTCATATGAACCTATGCCTGAATAAAGTGACGCATTGCAAAAACTGGTCAATTTGAGGCATTGCCCATCTGTGCATTTTCAAGTGCATTTTATATTTTTTTTTCTGAAAACTAACACATGAAATTCACCTGGTTGTCTTCGGAATTTGAAAATCCAATTTTATATGTCATCTTTTTTTAGCAACCTCTTTTACTTTATCTTCTAAAAGTTGTTTGCAAACTTCAATCCTCCATTTTCATTGTTCGACAATTTTTTGACTTTTTTAAGCATGCTTCACACAGTCTGAATCCCGCAGTACCGTTTTTCATTTTTTCATAATGTTTAGCTTTTCCCGAAGACATTTTAAACACGTCAAAACAATTTAATTAACACAATTTATATTACTGTGAAGAGCAGATTAGAAAGCTATGTTATGGAAAACACTTTAAAAATTTTTAAAACCCAAATACTACAATAACCGAAAAAATTGAACAAACAGGCATTACATTAGCAATGATGAATTTATATTTGCATAAGCATTCGCCAAATGAAGTTTATATTAACATTTCATCAACTGTTATTCCATCATGTTTAACACTTTCCCATTAATTGACTGATTTATTGATTGAATGGTTAATTAAATGATTGATTGATTGATTGAACGAACGAACGAACGAATGATTGTTTGTTTGTTTGTTTGTTTGATTGATTGTATGTATAATTGTTTGATTGATTGATCTAGTTACCCCTGTTCATGGGGAGGTGTCAAAGATGGCCGACCAATCGTCACCAACCTCGAAGCGTTCGGAAACAGAGTTATCGACAATTTATGGAATGCCATCTTGAAGACCTACCCGGAAAATTTAAGACACGCTGAAATGGTTGGCTTGTTTAAATTTAATTAATATTTTTTAAATTCAAAAATTTATAAATCTTGGCATGAAACAATTAGCATCATTCTATTAAGGCGTCAAGTGGCGGATCTAGGCAACGTTGACGGGAGAGGGGCACAAAAAGTTTGAAAAAATGTTGAAATCTTCGACCTTTTCATGCTTATCACGCCAATTTTTGGAGCTTCTTTTGTACTTAGAAACGGTGTTTTCCTGTCTAAAAACTGCGTTTTTCTGACTGTTAATAACAACACTGGTCTCAACGGGGGACCACCCTAGAAGGCGTTTGAAAATTTGTAAGCAACTTAAAGCGAGGACTCATAAACACAAATAAACAATCTAGAACGTTTTGCACAACTTGCATCATACAAATATAATAAGAGGAAAACAGTACCACATGCACGCACACATAGCTACAGAATTGAACCTGTTTAAATAAATAAAATATATCAAATAAGATATGTTCAATATGGAATTGCAAATAGAATTTTTGGAAATAAAAATGAAAATTTTTTTAAATATATAAATTTCGGAATAGAAACGTTTTTTATTATTTCAAGTATTTATTGATAATGAAATGACTACGTTGCACATTTTAATTGTTACCAACATTTTATGATATTTCAGCAAATGTTGACAAAGGAGGAGGACTCAAAAGAGAAAATGTTAACAAATGATTCGTACACGGAATATATGAAAAACAAATTTGTTGGCAGGAAGAAGTTATTGAACAAAGCTCTTGATATAGCTACCACAAAGAAAAACGGTTTTTTTTTAAAATTTACTTAACTACTGAGTAGCGTATTTTCCAAGAATAATATCGGTTTTTTAGGCTTTATATATATGTATATATATATATATATACATACAATATACATGTGTATGTGTGTGTTGTGTGTGCATGCCTACGTGCGTGGTTGCATGTGTTTGTTTCTATTTTTATCCATTTTTTCACATTTCTGATAAATTGAATGAAGTATGACAATGATTTACATTATTATTGATTTTTTTTTGTTTCACATCTATATGAAGATTATCTTTGTTTATAAAATGACCTCAAAATATACACATCTACAAATTGTTTCTCATTATTAACTTCTGTTAATATTTTAAAACTTTTCATCAGGCATCGTACTAATTACCGGCAAAGCAGGGTCTGGCAAATCATTGCTCATCGTATGTTTCAAAACAATTACTTGCCAATTTTATCAATTCATTGCTTACTATGTTTAAAAATAACTATTTTAGCTTAATTTTCAATAATATTAAAAAAAATTCTCATGGTAAGATGACAAAAAATAATCTAACATATAAAGGAAAAGATTTAAGCTTGTCCTATCCAAATTTGATTCTGCTTTCATCGCCGTCAAAGACGTGTACGTGGCTGGATGCTGTCGATTATTCATAATAATTTCATTCATTGTGATTATGAGCGTGCACCCGGCGGCCAAGTAGGCGTCTGTAATGTTAAGTGACAGATTTTCTCCAATGAGCTGATTCTGGTCGATCTCCGGTGACTCCACAACTCGGTGGTGGCCCTCTTTGGGATGATAACTGGTGATGCGAAAAAAAAGAGTAAAGCGACGTCTAACGAAGAACATCTATTAAATGGTTGTTTTATGCGTTGTGGTGAGGGTAAAGTTGCTTCCTGAGATGGCAGTTGGTTGAACAACTTTTCGAATGCTATTAAGCCGAGTAATTTTTTGATAAACAAATTTTTCCTATCAACTAGTTGAATTTTTTTGACGTAACTTAACAAAAAAATAAAGCTAATGTAGTTTTTATGAATAAACATTTTGACTGTAGTTAGGTGAGGTTTTGGTTGCTTCCTATAATGAGGTGAGGTTGTGGCTGCTTCCCATGATAAGATGAGGTTGTGGCTACTTTCCATGATAAGGTGAGGTTGTGGTTGCTTCCTATGTTGGAGGGAAGTGAATAAAAACATCAACCCTAGGACGTTTTGGTGACTACTTGAGTTTGAAAAGTTGAAGCTTTTTAAAATAGGCTCCTAAATAATACTTTACTAATTCTTTTATTGAAACATACATTTTTTTTTAACTTTTAACATTTTAAAAATTTCATTTCGAAATATGTGATACATTATTAATCTTCATCATGTTTATAAAATTCATTATGCTCACTTATAAAATGAATAAACAATTCTGAAATAAACAGGCATCACTCATTCACAAATTATTTGAGTTGAAATCTAATAATGGCAACCATCGGGTGTTTGTGCACTGCGTTGGAGCTTATCCAGCCTCAAACGATATTATTAATATCCTCAAATATTTCATTGTGGAAATTGGCAACAGCTATAAATTACCTACGGTTTTTGTGCCTGATAAATACAAGTAAGTTGTTTTCTTTAAAGAATTTCATATAAAGTCGAACGCATTTTATTTTTCGCACATTTGCAGTAATTTTCATGATCGCATAAAGTCGTCTATAGTAATGATTTTTTTAATAGATTTTATATTTTAATAAGTTTTGAAAAACAACTCATTTAAATTTATTTTCTATTTGATTATTCATTGGCTGTAAGATATTTTGTTTTTTAATTACAAGTGATCTCTGCGTGTATTTCACGAACACGTTAAAATCTGTGTCCGAGTGTAGCAAAGAGAAAGCCTATATTTTTATTGATGGTTTGGATCAACTAAACGATCATCCTTCGCAGTTAGCCTGGCTACCACAAGACGTCCTACCCGTAATCTTTTTCTCACATTTATATTTTTGACACATTTATATTTTTGATTAAGCTATCATATTAATTGATAACAGATTGTTACTGCTGCTGATTAATTTAATTGTCTTTCTAGAACATACTTTTTGTACTTACGGCAAGCACGTACTCTGAGTGTCATGAAATGTTGAAGAATAGACCAGGTTTGTCAGAAGTGTTGGAGGTGGGTGACTTAGAAGGAACAGACAAAGCTGACATTGTGAGAGCATCTCTTTTAAATTATGGAAAACGTTTGGACGAATCGGCTTTCAACATGCAGGTGCGTTCATTTCATTACTTATGTAGGACGTCTGAATGTCTATGATATGTTTTCGTTATTTATTTCATCATATTTATAATAATCCTGTAGCACTACCACGGCCGATTTTTTATAGGGGTTTTCTCTCTTAATCATGTCCTAGAAAGGGCATAGGCACAAGGAAATGGAGGTTTCAGTTTAGAGTTTTTTTCTCCCTAGATGGGTGCGTGGCAGGTCCCGTCTACTCGGAGCAGCTGGTTTTACGGCGACCTCGCCCTTCTTCTATTAATTTAAACAATTTTAGAACGGGAAGGCCAGGAAACGGACTTTGACCGTCGATGGCTATTTGACACGCACACCATATGGGAGCATTTTTTTTAGATGTTGAGAGCTCGACCTCGCCACCAACCTCGGCTGTGACAGTCTTTGAAACCTCTAATCAATTAATTTATTTTTAATTAATCCGTACCTTAATTTTTGATTACAGATGAAGCTGCTAATGATGAAAAAAGAATCAAAGTCGCCATTATATTTGGAACTTGTTTGCGATGAGATGAAAAAATGTGGAGATTATCAACTGGTGATTGATTTTTTTTATTGAATTCTCTTTTATTCATTCATATATTTTATGTGGACTTTCAATGAAAAAGTTTAGTAGATCCGTTAGAAATTAAAAAAATTCACAGCTAATGTCTCAACTAGAAAAAGATTATAAAACGCCGATATTATTTAATTATAATTTGGCTGACACGCAAAACAGCAAATTAAAAAATTGCATTATTAACGTGAACTTTTGTTTATTAAAAAAAGTATAGTTATTTTATTAACAATAGAACTTGATTTTTTTTAAATCGTTCCACCATACAGATATCTAGCAAGTTATCCTCTCTGTCTTCGACAACTTCTACACTCTTGCAAGATATTTTGAAGGGTGCCGAGATGGAATATGGAGAAATGTTTGTCAAGTCTGCCTTATCATTATTGGTATTGTCTAAAAAAGGTTGTTGTACCTGCTGATCATACATTTTTGTTTTGATCTTTTGGTTGTTGCAAATGCTGATCATACATTTTTGTTTTTGATCTTTTCTTCTAATAGAGAGTAATAAATAAAAAGTTAATTATTAGATGTTAAATTTTTTTTCAGTTTTAAAATCCGTGGCACATGTCACGCACTAGTTAGCTTTGTTTCTAATAAAGAACGTTTGCTAAAGTTCAAAAGATTGATTGGCAACTGACCTGACTGAGTCTAACAGTTGAACTTCAGATTTCGTTTTGTTATTCTTTTATAAATACGTGTCCTGGTTATGACATTAAACTGACCCTCACTGCCTTGTGAGTGATGTTGGATCATCAAAGGCTAGGCCCACCGCTTATAACTGTGGTTGCGTAAGGAAGGGCGTCCTGCGTAAAAACTAACCAAAAATAATACTTATGATGACGGAAATAACAATGGCCCTCAGTATCCGGCAGAAGAGCGTGCGAAGAGCGGGGTTGCGTGATACTGAGGCGAGTGACAGATGTGGATGGCGTCGAGGGGTATTTCGGTTTCATCATATGTAACCAAACAGCAACCCCCGATCTCGGGGAAAATTTCGTCTAAACGTGTGTTGTTGTTGTATTCTTTTATAAATACGCTGCAGAAAATTGAGATTTATCTGGGTTTGTTTAAAGTATGTACAAGAATATCGGTTAATTTAGATATGCTATACAATTTATAACAAAGAAAACATTTCGAATTTTCGCTAAGAAAGATTTTGTAAAAAAAAACATATTAGTATATTTTTAAAATATTTTTCATAAAAAAGTAGGTTAACGAGTTTGTCCAGATTGTATAGAAGTAGTGTTTTAACAAATCGTCCTAACGTATAACCCGTGACCGTCAGCAACCGTGATTCGGCTGCTATCCGAAGTTTGGAACTGTAATACATTTCTAGTCATAAAGCGTTTGATAGATTTATTTGATTAAAATTAAGAAAATTGGAAAACAAACGATCTAGAATAAACTGGGGTCTTTTTTTAGAACAAATACGGGTTTACGGGTTCATTTAAAACCATGTAAACAAAATTTTTAATGTTTAAACAAAAGTCAAACATGTAAAGCTTGCACCGCTAAAATGAATGAGAAGCTAACCTGGCATTATTTCATTAATGAAGAGTCATACTTATATATGCCACGCTTATATTGATTTCACATTGTTCGTCCCTTTATTTTTTTGTTGGTTTGTTTTTTGTTCGTTTGTTTGTTCTTTCGTTCGTTGTTTGTCTGTATGTATGTTTGTTTGTCCCGATTTAGAGAGATAGAATGAGCGGGGATGGCGCGGTTGAGTAGCGGTAAAGATCGGTGACAGAATTTAATTGCGAGAGATCTCCGCCTGTCACATGCAACGCATGAGATTCGCTGCTTCGAGTGTTGTTATATGCACTGTGTGTGTGCGTGTGTTTGGGATGGAACCATTGAAAAATATTGAAAAGAAAATCGTAATAAACAAAAAATAAATAAAAACGATCACCGTAAAAAAATGAAGAAGGTGTTGAGATATTGCAGAGGGTGGACGGAAACTCACTCTAAGCGCAAATGGACAAAAATTTTACTTTAACCAGTTTATTTATTTTATTTGTTATTTAACAAAAAAGTACAAATTTTACATATCTGGGCGTGGTTTTGATGTTTTGATGAAATCTTTTTTTAACTTGTATGCTTTTTTGTTGTTTGTGTATTAATCAAGTCTCATTAAATGTTGATCATTCTTTGTTAAGGATTGTCTGACGTGGAGCTGTTGGATGTGCTAAATATTTTTCTGCAAATTGATGACTGGAGCGTTGTAGAAAATTACAAAATGATTCAATTGTCTCCAGCTCTTCACATTGATTCATCGAAGATTGTTAGATTTATTCACCATATGCATTGCTTTTTTATGCATATAACCAATGTTAGGTTGGCCCATTACTTTTTTCAATGGAAATTTTTTATAATTATTTTTCTATTTTATCATTTTGATGAACGTAGTTCTAAATCAAATTTTTATTTTTTATTTTCAATGCATCAGGATGCATATGTTTATTTACATTTCAAAGGAAAATTTTTTATTTTTTTAATCAATTTATTTTTTATATGTAATTGATTTATATAATTTGATTTGTTTGTGAAGATCGCATGTCGTGCCATATAATAAAAGTCATTCAAAATGATAGTTGCGTCTATCAGCTATTATTGTAAATCTCAAATTATTTTAAACATTAAAATTATTTAATTTTTTTCTTTTTATCCGTTTACAAAACATTCCTATTTCAGAAATATGTTTTATTTTTTTTTCAATGTTCAAAGCTATTTTTTATTTCAATACAACTATTTGGTATTGCTTAACAGCCAGAATGTTGGGATGATCTTGACATTTGCACATAAAGAATTTGTAGGCGCTATTAGACAGAGATACGTGAACACCGTGAATGGAAAAAAATGGGAAAGATTTGTGCACATGTTACTTGCTGGTAAATATAACGTTGATTCAACATATTATATATAAGTATATATAATATGTTCTGTTGTATTATGCATTTATTATTATTGTTGAATATATATATATATATATATATATATATATATATATATATATATATATATATATATATATATATATATATATATATATATAGGAAAAGATTGTCTATGCCAGGCTAAACAAATTCTTGTATTAACGTGAAACGCGACGACCACCTGGAGGACATGCTCTTGACTTTGTTCATCATATGTGAGAAAATTTAAAAAAAAACTCGTCACTTTAGGAGGACCCTTTATAGATCTCTCAAAAGCTTTTAACACTCTCAGTTGCTCTATTCTTTTCAATAAATTTAACATTATGATACTCGCGATCAAGCTCTAAATTGGTTCAAATGTTTTTCGCAAACCGTCATCAACATGTTTAACTTGATAACGTCTCTTCCCGATTCATTACCTATATGCACGAGCGTCATCCGAGACCCTATACTTCGTGCTCTCGTCTTCCATATTTTCATGAATGATCTTGTAAATCCTTCTTTTATTATTATTATTATTATGGTGATGATGATGATAAAGATTATGACATTGATAATTGTGAATATATGCAGCAATTTTTGAAATTTGCTTTGTTGATTTTGGAAAATACCGAAAATTATTTTCTGGGTTTAAAATTCTTTTAAAAAGTTACTCCAAACGCCAGTCAACTACGCTGTTTGTGCGCCATAAACATATTTAAACAAGTATTCTGATTGCCAGCCGTTAGCCGAAAATAAGCTAATGAATTATTTCTCTATAAGTCGCCGACAAATTAAATTCGACTAGCCGAATTTTTAGCTGATATTTTTTGTTAGTCAGTCGAAACTTCTGAAAATATTCAGCTGACAAGTCTAGCTACTGGTGAGCATACCAACAAACGCATCTATAAAGTGGCATCTCGTGGGAATGGCACACATTATAAAAATCGTTAGCGCTGAAACTCACTGAACTCTTGTTGGGGTCTGTATTTTCCATATGCTGCAAAATTTATAAATGTGAATAATAATAATAATAATATTGCAATAATAATAATGTGAACATATTTTATTTATTCAATCGAAAAAAACAATTCAAAATAATAAGAAATAAGAAATGAAGTTTAATAAAAATTTAGTTTTAAGGAAATGTACGATCCTCCTAAGCTCGATGACGCTGCAAGTGCCTAGGAGTGAAAGATATATTTAATTATGCATTGTTTCTCTCGCAATAAATACTATATGTCGAGCTAATAACAGTATTAGTTAATTTTACATTAAAATAATTTGGCCATGTAGTTTTAAAAATATATAGGTTCAAGTTATAAAAACCAATTGGCGATATCTCAAATGTGTTAACTGTTATAAAGCAGTTTATAAAGTTATTATTTAAATGTTGTTTCAGATTTTTGTACTTTTCACTTTTATATTGTTTAGATGAGAGTAGGTTGGTTTCATGACATATCGTCAACTTGGTCACCTCTATTTTTCCACCCCGCAGAACAGCAACATCCGGTCGTAGCGTGTGAAACAACTGTGTTATTGGGTGTACATTTTCCGATTCCAAATCAGCAAATATGCAACAGTCGATAGGAGCCTGAGCTTTTATCTCGTTTATGATCACCGCCAATATTTTGTTATGTCTTTCGGTGTATCGTGCCAGTGCCGATGTTGAACAGCAGTCAGACACGACATGTTTATTTGTCTGGCGAACGCTGCAGAGCGGACATAAAGGAGTCGTAGTTTTGCCCCATTGAAACATATTTGAATTGGTAGGCAATTGTTGAACCAGGTATTTTTTTATGAACCTGTCGAGTAACCCGGATAACTTCTCTGTAGTTTTGGACCAACAAGTTATTTCTGCTGGGCTTATATGCTGACCAATCCTCCAGAAGCTTAAGAGACAGCTTTAGTGAGCCTGTTTCGTCCAGCAAGCTATCTGATTTGATTAAATTTAAAGTTGTTTCGCTCCATAAGCATTGGATTTCATCACTAGTGTTGTTTTTTAGATAGCTGCGGATTTCAATTTTATTTTTTCTGAAGTCTCTTTTAATGACACAATGTTGTTACCGCCATGTTTCGTTGGCAGCGAAAGTATTTGCGATACACGACCGCTAATAGGCATAGAAAGCCACTCTCTGACATTATTTATCATCAAATTGTCCAGGTTGCACGATATCCAAGTTGGTGCAAAATGATAGCTTCGGAATTCGAATTGAAGCCGCGAAGGAATGAAATTTCGCAATATTTGAAGTTTTTGTTGTGGTTTGATGTCTAGAGCGGAAGTGGTATCCAGCAATTTTGTCAATTTCAAAACGATTTCTTTTTTGGCCTCCGTATCTTTGCCCTCAAAATCATATAACCTGCCCAGGTAGACAAAACTCTTTCCTATTTCTATACTCGGAATATCATCGTTGTTAATTGTAAGCCTTGGAGTAAACTGAACATAGGCACCGTCTTTTTTTCTATGCTAAATGAGTTGCATTTGTCTATTTTCATTGTCATGT